ATTTCAGAAATATCTTTTCTCACTCTCTTTCAAAAAGAAAGAAAAAAACCTACACAACCCCTCAGATTTTTACATGTAACTTTCTCATTTTATCTAGCACACTCATTCAATATTTATAGATGCATATATTTTGCAGTTGAACAATAAGAAGTCTTTTTTACATGAAAAAAAGAGACACCAAAAAAACCCAACCCCAAAACATTAAAATCAACATTTAAGATAAGGGGAATTTTTAGTGATATAAGAAACTATAAAATACCAAAGCCAATGTTTCAGACTTTGCAAAAATACTCCCCTTTGTCCCAGTACAAACATGGCAATTTCAACACCAATCACATTTTTAATTGAGAGTGAATGAAGCCTAGTAGCAGTGAAAATTTGTCGATCATCAGATAGCAACAGTCTGTCTAAAATTTATCCCACAATATTTCTCTCTTCTAGGCAAAGAAATATAACTTTTACATATATAATTCATCAGAGTCCATCTTCAGTGGGCCAAGTGGAAATCCAATGCCCAAGTTTTACTGGGAAAAGTACGATCTCTTGATTTTGAAAATTTTAAATCATGATGTAGCAATAACCTTTTCCTTGTTGCAAATGAAAGAAGAAATCCATAAAAGAACCAGTATTCATCCCAAAATGTAAGCATTACTGAAAAAATTTAAATCAATGCTGGCTCTGGTATTATACATCGCTTAGCTGAAATCATATATGCAAAGTCCACACATTCAGCACTAGCCAAGCTGTTGTCTGTTTGTATTTTGCAGCATGAGCAAGTGCTTGTTAAAAAGACACAGAGAGGAGCAGATTAGCATGTTCTCTGTGCCAAAGTATTATATACTCCAAAAAAAAAATAAAAGTTGTCATAAACAAAATAGGAAAGCATTGTGGGGGATTAGTATGGCTTGCATAATATTTTTTGAAGCCTTGACTGTGTTTGTCATCCATTCTGTCTTCTGTATCATCACATTTATATTATTTGAACTGTCTTATGTTTCTCTAAGATTTTAATATCTGTGCTCGCACTCAAGCATATCACAGGAGGACTTAGCCGAGACTTCACATGGAATATTTGGCATCACAGCAGAACAAGGTCACCTTTTAGCCTCATGACTAAAGGTTTTGATTTACTCTCACTGAACCTGCCTGTACTACATTCTGAGTTAAGTCATGCAAAGAGGTGGAAAGGATTATGCAAGAAAATGTGGGCAGACTGAATAACATGTATAACCTTATGCACGTCTTCAAAAAGCACTTGGCTCCCCTCAGTAGGGTTTGCTTCTCTCTGTAATCTTTCAGTTGCCTCTTCCTTTCTGTTCTTTTCTAGTCAAGCTAGAGAAAATCTCTGTCCTTTCACACAAATAATTAGGGTATCTTTCTTTTGTACGGTATAGCACTGTCACAAAAACTATTTGTGGCTTTCTGTCACCCTGCAGGACTTTTTCCAATAGTTTTTCTCACCTCAGCTGACCAGCACAGAATGACACAGCTTTTCAGGAGAAGAACTGACACACCAGTGTTCAACTGTGATATCATTCAATGGATTTAGGTAGATCTGGGCCAAACTGCTTGGTTTTATTTGATAGAATCTACCAACACCGAATTTCACATAAATTCAAAAGTTCATACCTTTTTCTATTTTTTTCTATTTTCTATTTTGAAAGCAAACACAGCTCCCATCATCATCTGATCCCAGACACTATAGGAGGCTTAGGCTTAAAGAAGACTTTGACTGTTTATGGGTTGAATATCCAGATTTTATATTAATGCTGCCTAGGCCTGGCATATTTCTGCCTCAGATTTTATGGGCAGAGATATGAGCAACAGTTTTATATGGCAAACAAATAGTCTCAGGTACCAAGCTGCAGGAGACCACTGCACATCCACAACAGACATATCTGAGATTTCTGGATAATTGCCAGAAGTCTAAAAATTCTGACCTGAAAACATTCACAGATGAGAAACAAGGATCTGCACATCAGTGTAGAAATATATTCTAGAGGCAGTAAACTAGGACATAACCCAAATGAAATGAAATACACAATTAACCCTTCCTCTGTCTATTCTAATAGTTTAGGTAATATTTATAAATTTCATCACTTTGTCATATAAATAAAAACAAATAGCATTTAGAAAGGATTATTTTTGTGCTTGTACATGTTTAAATTTCTTATCATTCTTTTTATGATGAGGAAAAAGAATCTTATTTAGAAATAACCTATTAATACAGAATTCACCAGGCAGCAATGCTGTCCACTTTCCAATTTCAAAACTAAAATATGGTTTTTAAGGAAATATGTGAAATTTCACCTTGATAATGCCAATGAAGAATTGCATCAGAGTATGTCATTTCCAAGACACTGGTTTATATGTAGCAAAATTAATTTTAAGCATGTCACATATGGTATGTAGTATTTTATGAAATGTGAGCAACAAGGCAACTAAAGCATTGGAAATTATGTCAAAGGAATAAAACCAAAACAGAACCAGTCTTAGTTTTATTCCACACTCCACACCTGAGAAATAACCTACATTTTACAAAACTTGTTGCAGGACATAAACTACAAAACCGTTTGCTACTACCTGACACGTGTAATTAATGATCCATCAAAAATGACAAGGAAGAATTTTTTATACTAACAGAGCAACATGCTGAACCACCCTCCGCTGGCTGAATCCAGATAAACGAACCAAGTCATGCCATACAATGTCAGGGAGTGAGTACAGTTTTCCTACTTGCATGGTATGCCTGTGACAAACACAGCCTTTGGTTTCCAACAACAGACATGCTGTTATTATGGCAACTGAAGAGGGTAATAAAAGAAAACTTGTGAAAATTACACGTGACAAAAGTTGAAAGCAGCAGTACATAATTGCTTCCCTGAAGCTGGGTCTACTGCTATTCTTCCAAGCATTTCCATGACTGTTATTCTGTACGTTACACTAATTCTGAAATAAAATACTTTTGATGCATCATGATATGCGCACAAGATATTAGATACTGAATTAAGAACTCCGTAAAGTAGGCCTTAAGCTAGAAGAATGTGTTGATATTTGATTATTATATCATGATAGGCTCCATCCATGATTGGAGGACTTCATCCTCCCTTGTAGAGCATAGGAAAGAAATAAAGTTGTTTTTTTATTCATAAAGATGCTAGAATTATCAAAACTAGTAAAAAGGGCTGTGTCCTTGAGATGTCCATGAAACAAAATTTTATTCCAATACCTGCTTAAATAGGTAAGGAACTTCTGGTTATTAATAGATGTGTGAATTTGATGGAAGAAAGAGAAATCAAACTGAAAATACAAATAATAATAATAATAATAAAAAAGATGTTTAAAACATTAACTTCATCATTAAAAAAATGTAAACAGAGGAAATGTGCTAATATAGCAACAGCCAACTGTGGTTTAATATTAAAGTAATGCAAAGTAAACTTTTTAACTTGCAATGCTGTCAGATTATTCCCTGATATCACCCCCCCAGAAATATTGTCTATGAAGATATGAGGATCCCCTGGAAATCTAGCACTTCTAATGTTGGATAAGCCTTTTCAGTTCTGAGCAGGCAAAATCACATTTGTACTGTCCCTACTGTGCAACAAAACAAAAGATCAAGAAGTGGCCAAATGTCCGTAGCTAAGCACTTCTGACTCATGCTGCAGGTTCAGAAAAATTCTCTTTCCAGTTCATTAGAGTCAACATATTTCAGAAATTATAATACTCACCACTAATAAATTAACAATCAATGCTCCGAAAGCAAGGTCAGTCACTGTCCTCACAAGAAATAAGGAAACAGTGGAAGTAAGCCTTTGTGTGAAAGAACACCTCTCTCTTACATGCCATTTTGAGATATTGCATTGAAATACCTCAGAGGACAAGATCTAGCTCACCAGTTTAAAAGTACCACCACACACATCAGCAATGTTTTTTTTGTCTGATACCCCTGTACTTATGGCCATCAGGATACAGACATTATGATAGTCTATACTTCCTGTGGACATTTCATGCATCTCATAGAAAGCCAGTACATCCATAGAGTTATAGAATCATAAAATGATTTGGGTTGGAAAAGATATTAAAATCATCTAGTTCACCCCTCATGCCATGGGCAGGGACACATCACAATAGACCATGTTACCCAAGGCTCTGTCCAACCTGGATGAACACCACCAGGGATGGAGCATTTACCACTTCTTTGGGTAACCTGTTCCAGTGCCTCACCACCCTAACAGGAAAGAACTTCCTTATATCTAACCTGAACTTCCCCTGTTTAAGTTTTAACCCATTACCCCTTGTCCTATCACTACAGTCCTAATGAAGAGGCCCTCCCCAGCATCCCTATAGACCCCTTTCAGATACTGGAAGGCTGCTATGAGGTCTCCATGCAGCCTTCTCTTTTCCAGGCTGAACAGCCCCGACTTTCTCAGCCTATCTTCATATGGGAGGTGCTCCAGTCCCCTGATCGTCCTCGTGGCCCTCCTCTGGACTTGTTCCAACAGTTCCATGTCCTTTTTATGTTGAGGACACCAGAACTGAACACAATACTCCAGGTGAGGTCTCACGAGAGCAGAGTAGAGGGGCAGGATCACCTCCTTTGACCTGCTGGTCATGCTCCTTTTGATGCAGCCCAGGATACGGTTGGCTTTCTGGGCTGCAAGCACACACTGAAGCCAACTCATGTTCATTTTCTCATCGACCAGCACCCCAAGTCCTTCTCCGCAGGGCTGCTCTGAATCTCTGCCCAATCTGTAGCTGTGCCTGGGATTGCCACAGACCAGGTGTAGGCCCTGGCATCTTTTCATGACACTGGCTTCTATTACCAGGTAACCACACAATGGGCTGTGTAACATCTAGAAATGCAGCTTTAATAATGCCTTGTTTGGAAACGGATATCATGACTGTATTTACATAGAGAAGAAAGAGATGAGAGGAAAAAAACAAACAAAAAAGCAGACTTACAAGAAAGAGAGAGGGAGAGAAAGAAAAAGTGATACCCAAGAGAGAAGAAAATAAAGTGTTCTTCATCGAATATTGGCAGACAAGGAAAAACAGTTTCAACTTCTTCACTGTTTCAGGTAGCTCAGAGGGAGAAATGAGGAATTTATATTTAGCTGAAGAAGTACACTTCCCTAGTGACATAAGCAAATTAATACATACCTACTTTTCTACAAACTTATGGTTGAATTGCCCTTCAGACACCTTTCTGTTAGAAATTAAATGTTCCTCAAGCATAGTTATCAACTGGTACACTAGCCTTTAGAAGCAATTTGGTGACTCAGCTTACAGGACAGTTTCAATAATGAAGGAAACTGCATTTCTGTCATTGATATATTTCATTGTGAGACGCATAAGGCTTCTATTTGTGAAGGATTTTCTTCTTCATTTTCTCTTCAAATCTCCTATTTCAACTCTACAATACCTGGCAAATCATTAACCCTACAGTATGATTTGATTACACAAAGGGCTAGCACTATTTTCCTCAGCTTATATCTACTGCTTGAATTACAGTAACTTCTATTTTGGAACTAATTATATTTTCCCATATTAACACATTGCAAAATGTCTCTGCTCTGTCAGTCTGTTTAACCAATATTACACAAGAATACTGGGCCCTTGAGCATAAAATTATGTATATTTGCATGACATTTTCTTCTCTTATTGCTATTGTACAAGTAATTCAGCTGCACTATGCAGCCAGATGTTAGTACATACTGTTGATCTACAACACTCTTGCCAAGTCAGGAATTCATATCCTGGGATCATTTTGAACAAGTAGATACTGAGGGACAGAAAGCAATGTATCTTACATGAAGGATTCAATGCATCCCATAAGGCTTTTCTATAGACTTTCCTAGAATTTCACAGAATCATAGAATCAACTAGGTTGGAAGAGACCTTTAAGATCATCAAGTCCAGCCTTTACCTCAGGACTGCCATATCCACCACTAAAGCAGGTCACTAAGGGCATCTACACGGTTTTTGAACACTTCCTGGGACAGTGATTCCACCACTGCCCTGGGCAGCCTGTTCCAATACCTGATCACATTCTCAGTGAAGAAATTTTTCCTAATGTATAGTCTAAACCACCCTTGGCACAGCCTGAGGCTGTTATCTCTTGTCTTATCACTTGCTACTTGGGAGGAGAGACCAACCCTCACCCCTCTACAACCTCCTTTCAGGTAGTTGTATAGGGTGATAAGGTCCTACCTGAGCCTCCTCTTCACCAGACTAAACAACCCCAGTTACCTCAGCTACTCCTCACAGGCCCTTCACCAGCTCCATTGCCCTTCTCTGGACCATCTTCAGCAACTCAGTATCTCTCTTGTGGCGAGGGCCACAGAATGGAACACAGTGTTTCCCAGCGCTGAGCACAGGGGGAAATTAACTCGTTAAATATTTTCATACATCATAGAAAATATTCCTCATAATTCAGAGATTTATTACTAAGCAAAAATTATTAATGTTTGTTTCAACGCTGTATTTCATTCTGACTGATACAAATTAGTTTCCTAATAATAGGTGAAGAGAGTTCATTACTAAATCAAAAATTCTGACTCTATGGAGTTACATTCCTGTTCACATCTTTTATTTCCAAGTCAGAAATAACTCATTTGGAATTTGAAATTGAGGACCTATCCGTAATTTTTATGTATTGCAATGATACTACAATTCAACTCATACTCTCTGAAAAGTCATGCAAAAAATAAGAAAGAATGAATTCAAGCCAGTTAAGACACATAAATTGACAAAAGCACTGAAATGGTTGTTTCATTATACCAGTATTTTAGTACAGTGATGGTCTACTTATGACTAGTGATTTAAAGTGTATGTAATGCCAAATATGGTTAAAATACCTTTCAAAGATTCCAGATTTGTCATTAGGTGGGATTTCATCTCTGTATTTCATTTATCTTTATTTCACTATTCAGTACCTTTATTTTAAATGCCTGGTTTGTGGAGATGAAGGTGTATAAAATAAAAAGTTGCTTCCTGCTCTCACTGCACTCACATCTTCTGATATGCAGAAGGTATAATTTTTCCCTCATTCAAATAGCTCTTTTCATATGTTGACTTCTACTCTTAAGATGAGTGGTTGTTATAAAACTATTTGGGGAGAAGGGATGTGGCTTTACCTCTCACAGCTTAAAGACTTCAGGATTTGAGTAGGTAAGCTCAGATAACCATGCCCCAAAAGATCTGATTCTCCTTCTTGTAGTCCCATCTCAATTATTCTAATCCACAAAACACCAAAAGGAAGGGTTTTTTTGGTTGCCTCTTATGGAATCTTGTTCGTGTTTGGGGCTCATGTGCATCATATTTTCTTCATCCCAGATACCTTCTCAGTCCTTTTGCCTTTCTACTGCACGTTTCAAGGTCTGACCTCACTCCATGTCTGCTGTCACTCCCTTTGTGAAAAGGGACAAAACCTAAGATGCTCAAAAAAGACTTTTCTTTCTCACAGATCAACTCTTCTAGTTTGCTTTTCTACCTCTTTCTCTCCACTTAGTGCACTACCAGTGCAGATTGCTTGAGTTGCACACCACCATCAGGCTGCCAGCTGAAATTATGACCTCAGGCTGAAGTTACATCCACCTGCCATTTACAATGTAGATTAGGTTTTTCTTCTGGGGCCTTAATTCAGATATCTTTGGGCAAAGGCTAGCCAGCAGCAGAGGCATGTGTGCAAGTTACCTCCTAACTTCTTCTGGGAGTGCTGGCTGCTGTGTATAGCCTGCCAAGGGCTTTCCTTCCATCAACAACCTGGGTACCCAGGCTGCACCAGCATGTCTCCATGTGCAGGCTGCAAAACAAACACACAAGCCAAAAAGGTTCATGCTATGTTATCTAATGAGTATCCCATTTGGCAATATCCATTCCTGCCATACTTCCTTCATGAATACCTGAGATTTACTGTCAACTAAGGCAAATGTTTCAGCTTTAATGAATCTGATAGCAATGAGCGAGAATTGAAAAATGAATTAACACTTCATATGGCCACCACAGACAGTTTCCTAGAATTAGGTGGAATACAGGAGAAGGCTATTCCCAGGAAATCTAAAAATGATGTAATATCAATTATATTAGACATTATTGTGCTTTATATTTTATATTTACATTACTCTTTTACATGACACATGCTACATAATATATATATAAATCATAAACCCTATATTGGAGTCCAAAATCTAATGTAAAAACACAAATGCATGTTTATAATCTTCATTATTATATAATTGGCACATATATGGCATATAGCTTTTTTTATCAGCACACATCACAGACGCTGACTTTTTTTGTCATTACAGAAGTGCATGAATTACTATTTACTGCTGCTAAACATACAATATTAATTTGCTGCAGTATAATGAAAGAATAGATTTTTAAATAGAAATCTGATAATGGAGATAGTTGAGTGTTTTTCAGGTTCCAGGATCTTCAGAACCAAACATCATATACGGCAATTTTATTTGAGGTTGATGACCAGTTCCATTTGTCATCTACAAAAAGTTGATTCCATCAGTTTTGTATTGTTTTGAATCACCAGATGGCACTTTTCCCTGCTCTAAAGACTTACCATCTGAGCGTGTAGGAGTTAGATCTGGGAGAAACATTGCCAGCTGAACTGAGATACTGTATAGATGTTGAGTGCTTCACCAGTAAAGAAGTACTTGTCTTATTTCAATCTCTCTCCTTAGCTGAAAATATTCCTTCCCAAATTAGTTGCTGTAGACAAGCTATGTCTACAGAAGTGGAAAAAAAAAGAATTTAAAATCCCCCACTTTTGTCAACACATATTCACTGCCCAGGGCCATTTTTTAAAGGCATTCTCTCACATTCCCCGCAGGACTATATTTATAGCTGCACTTCTAACTTGAATAAAAAAATATTGACAAAATGAAATAAAACTGTGTTGAAAAGATTCTCCACTTCTAAGTGCCATTATAATTGTGCTACTTCTATTCCTCTTATGTTCTTCAAGTAATTTCTCTCCCTTGTTTCCATGTGCAACCCACAAGGAGACAAAAAAAAAAAAAATCAGAAACGTATGCAGCTATAGCATGGCAAGAACTTTCAGTGAAGCACAATCATGATTCATTATCATCACATCATACTAATGGAGTACCTCAGTGGAAACACCATAAAGAAATGTTTAAACATCATGCAGTGATTGTTTTATAATATCTGTAACTACACTGCATACAGCTCTTTCCTGTTTTCTTCTGTTATGTGGGTCAAGCACAGTGCTTGCTTTCTCTGTGACTGGGGAGAAGAGACAGGCTCATTTGTTTCTTTTTCCCCTCAATTTCTTTCTACCTTCTAACTGTTTAAGGGGACAGGGAGTTGTACAGCTAAATCCATTTTGTGTAACAATCTGAAAAACAGTTTTTTAGGCCAGAAGTTAAATCTAAAGGAATTTTCATCATATTGAAACTTCACTAACATTGCATGCAGCGTCATGAAAAATTACTTTTTCTAACACGACTCCTTTTTGTAAGGATTCAGGGACCTCTCTTCCATTACTCTGTAGGAATACCTGTTAGTTCGTTCTATTTGTATTAACAGGGAAGTGACTGTTTTTATTGTTGAAGAGTTACCATAGCTAAGTTCTACATGAGGATGGGACTGGGTGAATATACACTGGGTCCCAGTCACTGGCGAAAACCAAAACAGTACTTTTTTTTTTGAGCTCACCAATATTTTTTTTCATAAATAATTTATGAATAACATTCCATTGAGAATCATAAAATAAGCAAATGCAAACTAGAAAAAAAAAAAAGGTGTAAAAATACCCATTGGAAATAAACATGAAAACTGTCAACACTAACCAGTTTTGTGATTTTTTTGTTTTGCAGTTTGACCCAGTTAAGTCCATACTATTACTGTGTGGTAAGACATTACAGTGCTTCTGTCATCAGAAGAGTTGTGAAGATGACAGCCAAAATTCTGGCCTCTAAGCCATCAGCCTGCTCTAGTGAAATCAAAGACAGCTTTGCACTCAGCTTTGAGCTCAGTAAGCAAAGAATTAAACCTTGAGGCTTTAAGGTTTGATAACAGGGATGGCAAAAGCACCAAAAATT